TCCAGGTATCATGTTTTCTAAATACTCGCTTAGCTAGATTGGAGAATATTTTGTGTTATCCATTGCGTTAATGGAGCTATTTATGGATGTAATGTGCAACCTAATTAGCAATGTAGGGTTTAATACCATTTTCAATTACAAAAATAAGTCTCTTTTTTTTGGCGTCGAGGTATCTTATTTTCTAAACACTCTAGCTAGCTTTGAGAATATTTTGTGTTATTCATGGCCCTAATGGAGCTATTTATTAATCCAATGTGCAACTTAATTAGCCAACAAGCTACCAGGTACCATGTTTTCTAAACACTCGCTTAGCTAGATTGGAGAATATTTTGTATTATTCATTGCGTTAATGGAGCTGTTTATGGATATAATGTGCAACCTAATTAGTGGTGTAGGGTCTAATACAATTTTCAATTCCAAAAATAAGTCTCTTTTTTTGGCGTCGAGGTACCATGTTTTTTAAATACTCTAACTAGCTGTGAGAATATTTTGTGTTATTCATGGCTCTAATGGAGCTATTTATTGATCCAATGTGCAACTTAATTAGCCAACAAGCTACCATTCACCTCATGGAACCTCACTATTTCCATCTTAATCCATCAAGGCTTATAAGATGTAATTTCCTCGACTTTTGATATAATTTTTGCTATAGAGTAATTCTTAGTATAACTTAGTTGTTAGTATTATAACTCAATGTTCATTTGCACTTTTCCATGTTATATATTCTGCACGGTTAGTGAAAATTTTCCAAAGGCCATTTGTTGGTAGGAATCAGTGATTTTTATTATTATTATTTTTTGAAGTTGTCTTTTGCCTCTTAATATCAAATATATATATATATATATATATATATATATATATATATATATCTGGTACAAATCTGTGAATTCTTTCATAGTTGTATTAATTGGGCAAATTTTTTTTTTTTTTGTGTTACCCATAATAGTGCTGTCTTTTTAGGCGAATTATAAATTCTTTTTTAATTTTGATGATTCTTTTTAAAATTATTATTATTCAAAGTTTCGAATTGTCTATTTTTATATTACTTTTGTTCCTTATTATTATTATACAATGCTTTAATACCTTAATTTTTATTGCATGTGACAGTCACAGAGACAAAGTGGTTCTTTTGTTCCAACTACACACAGAGAATGCATGTCCATCAAATACACAAACAGGAGGACTCTCACTAGGACCACACAAAGGAAAAGGGCCACAAAATGGTTTACCACATAACAAGGAAATACATACCTATATTTACCCAATTGGGAGCTAGAGGAAGTGGGATAGGAGGATCTCAAAATCCAAAAAGTACTTGAAATGATGTGGGATATGGGACATATGTAATGTTGAATAGTGTCATTTTTTTTGCTGCTATTTTGCAATCTGTTGGTGTGAGCTATTTTTCTACTTTTAAAGAAGAATAGCTATGCAACTTTTTATTGTGGATTAGGTTGGTATGTTTTAGCAACCATTGTATGGCGTATTATACTGACATCTACCTTAAATGGAATGAAATGAAGTTCTCTTTTGTATTGGGTTTTTATGAATTAGTATTGTATGGCTTATTATATTAGAGCCTCACTGAATTTTCTTTGACTATTACATAAATGTAGTATCAAAAATATTTCATTCCAAAATTGAAGCAGTTGAATGAATAAGGGTAGTTTTGTAACTCTGCAATGGTCAATAAAGTTAAAAATGTCATTTCAGCCATTGGAAAGGGCAAAATCGACCTTCTACCCATTTATCCATCCTGACATCAGCACTAAAAGTCTGTTACTTAAAGGCAGGGGGTAAGTTGATACGTATGGTATAACACCCTACACCGCTGGATTGCACAGTGGATTAATAAATAGATCTATTAGGGCCATGAATAACACAAAATATTCTCCAAGCTAGCTAGAGTGTTTAGAAAACATGGTATCTCGACACCAAAAAAAATGACTTATTTTTACAATTGAAAATGGTATTAAACCCCACACCGCTAATGAGGTTGCACATTACATTTATAAACAGCTCTATTAATGTCATGAATAACACAAAATATTCTCCAATCTAGCTAAACGAGTGTTTAGAAAATATGGTACCTGGACGCCAAAAAGTGGTACCTTCAATCCAAAAACGTGGTACCTTTGGAAAAAAAGTGGTACCTTCGCAAAAAGGACTTATTTTTGCAATTGAAAATGGTATTACACCCTACACTGCTAATTAGGTTGTACAGTGGATCAATAAATAGCTCCATTAGAGCCATGACTAACACAAAATATTCTTCAAGCTAGCTAGAGTGTTTAGAAAACATGGTACCTCGACACCAAAAAAATGGACTTATTTTTGCAATTGAAAATGGTATTAAACCCCACACCACTAATTAGGTTGCACATTACATCCATAAACAGCTCCATTAACGCCATGAATAACACAAAATATTCTCCAATCTAGCTAAACGAGTGTTTAGAAAACATGATACTTGGACGCCAAAAAGTAGTACCTTTAGTCCAAAAATGTGGTACCTTTGGAAAAAGAGTGGTACCTTCGCAAAAGGGCATTTTAAGCAACACATAAAATAGGAAGAAGGGTATTTTAGGCAACAGAAATATAAAATAGTATTTTTTTCATGTGCCACCTCAACTTTTGGGTCAAAGACATTTTAGAGAAATTATTGACTTTGACTCAATGTATGAGTAAATATGGACCACTAAGTCCATTTATATGTAATAATCCCGATATGTAATGATAATTTATTTTTATTTTTTTCTTTTTGAAAGAGGAGAGGCGAGAATGCAGGGGCAAGATCTGTAATACTAGGGTTTGGAAAGAAAAATAAATGAACTTTTATAGGGATACGCTTGGAATTATATATATATATTTTTTGTTAGGTAATAAAAAGGGGGCGCTTGTCATTTAAAAAGTTTTATTAAAATACTGAAACTCTTCCCGTATTGTTTCAAAAGAGCGTTTTGAAAAAGTTGGCCCCCAACTTCTTTAAAATGCTTTTCTAAGAATCCAAAGCTCTTTTAAAAAATTTGCTAAACACCGCTGAAAATAGTTTTTTAGTTCAAAAGTCAAAAGCAACACTTAAAAAGCCAATCCAAATGGGGCCGAAGTGTTGGGGTGGGTGTTGGGTGGGTGGGGTGAGAGGGTAAAAAACGTGGCTAAATTTTAATCCACAGAAATGTCAGGTAATATGGGCATTTTAGGTAAACTCTATCTTAAATTTCTAAGTAAGACCTATTTGCACCGTAAGCATAGGGGTTGTTTTATGCACTGTAAGTATAGCATAGGAGTTGTTTTCTGCACTTTGTCCATTAATATATATTTCCCGTTCCCATGTACAGAACAAAATAATTGAATTCTATTGAAATTATTTTTAGTACATCATAATCAGTATCTTTTACAAAAATTAAAAATGCATTTCTTTTTTCGTCTCACTCGGCACTTTGCAGTCCCGGTCCCACGTTCACAAAACCATTTGAGGAAAATGCACTATAGTGGAAAATAGAGTGTGTCTAAAGGACTGTGAAGTAAGGATGTATTTGAGAATTTTAACACTTTTACGTATTTTTCCATTATTAATGTAAAGTTATTCCATTTAACGATTTTAAGTTGTTACGTTGTCTAGTTATAATTTTTGTATCGTGCACATCAAAGATGAAATACTTTTAGAACTCTTTAGGGCCACTACTGAACACCATGAGTGTTTTTTTCAGAGCGGCCCACTCTTATAGCTACTGTCGATATCTACATCTATATATATTTTGCTTAATTCTCAATTTGTTTTATAACATTAAATAAAGGACAATATGTAGGAGGATTTATATTATCTTCACCGCTTGTGTAGTCCAATGAAAAAAAGATATGTCTTATAGAAAAATAAAATAAAGCCAATCCTATCCAAATGAGATTGAGTAAAGTGAGACTTTTTTTTTTTTTTTTTGGCCGGGGCTCACTGCCGCTCTCTGGTTATATCTCTCTACGGCACCGCCTTCGGCTCTCTCTCTCCACCATCTTATTCCTCTCGTGCTTTTAATTCTGAACATCATTATTCAATTGGCAAAAATATTTAAAGGAAGTATGATTTATTTATTTATTTTATTCCACACGTCATCATCATTCATTTTTCTCTGAATAAAAAATTAGTATTTAAATAACAATTAAAAAAACAAAAAAGAGAGATAGAAACAGTTGTGACAATCAAAAGCAGCAAGCTAATTCTTGGCCTCTCTGTTCAGCTTTTTGCTAATTCCATTGATTTTTATTTTTTTTACTGGATCAAAAATCAGCATTTAAAAAAAAAAAAAAAAAAAGGGAAAATGAGAGAGAAACATATCAGATTTTTGGGAGTAAAAAAAAAAAAAAAAAAAAAAAAAAAAAAAAAAAAAACCCTAAGGGACAAAATCTCAGGTGAAATCAGGTTTGAGTTTTGTGTTAAAATGTAAGTGCATCCTTAAATCTAATACGTAATCTTTCACGAAAAGCCGCCTTCTAGAAAAAGAACCCTAACAAAAAAGAAAAAAAACCATCATACCTCCTTCAAATATTCTGGCCAATTGAATAATAATGTCCAGAATTAGACGCTTGAGAGGAAGACAATGGTTGAGAGGGAGGGCTGAAGGCAGTGCCAAAAATAGAGAAGCAGGGAGTGACGTTGAACTCCCTTGAAAAATAATAATAATAATAATAATAATTCCCCGATCACATTCGAATAGGATCGACTTTATTTTATTTTTCTCGCCTCTTTAATAATAGAAAACGTTTTTTTTTAATTGAACTACATAAGTGGTGAGGATAGTATAGATCTCACTAGTGAGAATCTAAATATTATCCATAAATTAATGCTTTAAAATTAAAATCAGAAGAAAATTAAATCGACTAATTTTTTCTTGATTCCAATTTAAAGACGCAAGTATATGCTTCCAAACACCACATTAATATTTCTGAACCCGAGCTCCACAACTACCAAAAAAAACTCGGAACAAAGTGGCAAACCCGTACCGCAATATCCAAACCAAAGGGGAAAATTGATATTGAAAAATATAAATAAAAAAAATATTTTAATGATCATGCACTATAATAGGAATGCAATTTTTCAAGTTCATTGCCTAAAAGAGAAACAATAAGTTAAACCACAATTTACTACTATAATCTTTCCCAGTATTTCGAAGAACGTCCTCAAAGTGATCAAAATGCTTTGGGGAATTATACATTCTCTGATGATTCTCACTTGCTTTCATATATTCTTGATTCATGGCAGTTGTAGAAGCTTGCCTCAACTTTTTACCGATATGAACTTCTTGTGTTCGGTTTTGTCAGCATTTCAACAAATTTGTACATCCAACGATCTAACATTCCTGTCAATATAACAGTCAACAGTAGGTATTAATTATTTCTCATCCATGGCAAAGCAGCCTTTATTCAAGAAAGCAGCAAGGAAAGTAATCAGCAGATTTCATCCAATAACACCAACCATCAACTTCTTGACACTTTCATTTTGCATTTTCCATTTCATATAAAGCGAAAGCAATGTTTTTGTTCTGCGATTTATTTTGAAACACAAACACATTTGGTAATTAAATTTGTCGCAAAAGTTACAAGGCAAAAGAAAAGACTAAAAAATAAAAAAAAGGAGGTAAAAAAATAAAAATTCCCACTACTGTTGCTTAGCTACACTAGCAAAAACAATTAAAAACATGTTTTTTTTATTCCTTTAAAATTTGGGTCTTTTGCTGAAGCACATCCAGTATCAGACATTATTAAACATGCTTCCACAACTTGTTTACATTTTTCACTAATTTGTCAACAAAAAACACTAAACAAAAACGTTGCCAAGCATACCCTTAGCAAGTAGAACATCACGCCTCCTCAATTCACTTTATGAGAACAGTTTTCCATTTCAGAGAACTAAAAAGAGTTTGAACATTGATTGGATTGACAGATCTCTAAATTTTCTGAAAATTCAGTTTGAAGGGGAAAAAAAACACATATATATTTTTATACAAGTTAAAAAAAAAAAAAAAGACATGTTTTCCAAGAAGAGATTCACAGTTTTCTAATAACTGTCCGTTTTCTAACAACTTTTTTCTGAAAATGGAGTTAGAAAAGACTTTTTCCATGTAACAACATTTTATTGTTCTCTAAAAACTTTAATTTTTTATTTTCAAAGTTCAGTATCAAAGAAACTATGCGAATTTCTAAGGCCAAACTGAATTTGTAGAAATTGTCAAATTTACAATTTTATTTCTCCATTTAATCAATTTTTGAGCCGAGACATCTACCCAAGTAATTGGAAAGCAAAAACATGCAGCCACATTTTAGAATTAGTTTGAAATTTTCACCATTTTGGCCAGAAGTAGATTTATTTCTGCCAAATGAATTGGTTAGCAGCCCAAAGTTTAGAACCTGTCCAAATCCTCAGTTTGTTTTACTCACTCTGTTCAATTTATTTCAATATCAAAGACCATGGCAAAAGGGCAAGATACAAACCTGTTACAGCAAAAGTACCACCTAATACTGCACAAAGCCGAGTGATGAAGTGAAGAAAATTGCGACGTTCTTCTTTGATAGTCACAGTAATTGGCGACAAATCATACAAAAAATAGACAGCTGTATCAAATAGTAAAGTAAGATCTTAGTTGTTGTGTTTACTACCAATTAAAAAGTAGGAACTGAGAAGATTGAAATAAATTCCACACAGAATATTGTAAAGACAAACCTGGCCATGTCCTATCATACTCGTTCATAGGGGAAAAGTATTCCGTAACAGAGAATTGATTAGTTGGCAAAACTTCTTTCGAGCGATATTTGTATTCAGTTGGAACAATCTACATCACAATTAACAGAGTTCATAATGTAGAACCATAAGGGTAATGCTAAAACATTAAACAAAAGCCTCGATTTCAAAGAGGGAAGTGGAATAAATTAAATGTTATTGTCCCTTTTTCTATTTTTTTTATTTTTTTATTTTTTTTAAAAAAAGGAAAGAAATTGAGGCTGTGGAAGTCTCAAGCAAATAGAATGAGGCAACTAGTATGAATAGATCAACTGTGCCTTCCATTTATTTTACATGATTTGACTCGTATTTGTATTTAAGGGCCATTGCTTGTAGAAAATGTCAAATGCTCAAGTAGCCAAGCATGAGAAAACAGGTTTAAATGTAAGATTAGTCACTTGGTGTAAATATTAGGATTCCAATACAAAGTTGATTCCTGATTTCCTTCACTGTTTACTGTGATCTCTATATTACACTATAGACTCGGTTGCCGATTGGTATTCATAATGAACTGATTCAATTTTCATGTGACGTTCTCCCCATAAAGTTTCAGTAAAGGCATCTTCAAATTGACTCAGCCCATAGAGTTAAGAATACAAAGAGTATCACCCCTCTTCTCTAGATTATCCATTTGACAGTGAAAAGAAAATCATGGACAGTTGAAGAGAGCAAAGAACTCTTGAAAAATGATGCATTGGTGAATCATCAAAACAGGATATTCATTCTAGAGAAGAAGGTATACTCAGTTTCATAATTGTGTGCCATTCCTTTGACTACTTGTTTGGTGCCAATGTTGGGCCCCTGACATAAGCTAGCTACACTAGATAAAGAGTGCAATTGAACAACTAGGATCATTAACAAGGGGGAGTTGAATCAGTACAAGGTTTGGTACAAAATATAGGATCCTCCTGCCACAATTAATTAGCATTACATACATCCTACATGGTACGATTGGATCATTAGAGGCTTGAGATAAACTCTCCATAAAAAAATAAAATAAAATAAAAATTATTGAAGGAAATACCAACAAAATAATTCACAAAGCATAATTTTAATGAAAAACATTAAAAAAAAAAAAAAAAAAAAAAAAATTTGTCAGGCTCACACAGTCAATGAATTTGCATGACAAAGAGTGCAAATGAACCACTAAACTAGTAAAAGTCATAGTAATAATCTCTCCAAGAGTGCTCCAACTCAAAAAAACAGTTCTATTTTCTTTGCTCTATCAGTGTTGAGGTACAAAATTAAAGATCATTTAAGCGCTAAATTTGAGAACATGAACAGAAAATTTCAAGCACAAGTGCATAATTTGTTCATTGTGTCCATTGTATCTTGGAAGGCCAAATATAGAAACACTGGATGGAAGAACTATAAGTATCTAAAAGAGAGCTCAGGATAAATACCTTTATGTAATATTTGAATGTACCACTTGCATCATGCAGAATTCGAACTGTTCCATCAAGTGGATTATGAATTCCTGGATATTTTGGCCCAAATGACAAGTCATGAATAGTATGACTAACATTGACATGAGTAGCTCCTTCAAAAATCTGTCGGGGACAAGAAACAGTACTTGATATGAAAGAGAGAACAAAGACCAAACAGACAGAAAAAAAGAAGGAAGTTTATTTCTACACAAAAGTGTCACACATACAAAACTGGTTAAGAGCCAATAAAGAAAAATCCAAAATCAAATCTAGAAGATGCCTCTGGAAGGCAGATCCAAGAAGCTCCTTAGAAGGATCAAAATATAAATTAATCTAGCATTTTCTTGTAAATTAACACTTTGGGGAGGGGGGTAATCCTTCACTCTTTGCATGTCTCCATAAATTCAGTTGTTTTCAATTTCTCTCTTATATTGCCAATTTCCAAAAATTTATAGAAAAAACTTATTGCAAAACCAAAACTGTTCTGTACCAAAACTGGTTGTCAGACTAAGTGGGCTCTTGGCTTCATAAGGTAGAGAAGTGGAGTAAGAACAAAATCAAAGAACCATCCAATGTAAAGTAATGACTACATAGTAATACTGTTGAAATATATAAATATTTCTATACAATTGTGGAGCAAAATCCTCCACCAATCACGGTGATCTGGTCAATTTCCTTCCAATTATAAATATTTATATATTTCAACACTCCCCCTCAAGTTGGAGCATGAATATCATGAATGCCCAACTTGCTAAAGAAATGCCCCGAAAGATGATGAGAATGTATCCGGAACAAAGCCAGGAAATTGACCAGATCTTGCTGAGAAAATTGACTAGATCTTGCTGGGAAAAATAAAACGGAAACGAAGAGATAAATAAAAAAAGTAGAACATAAAGATATTACGTGGTTTAGCCACTAGGGCCTACATCCACCGCATAAAGAGCCTAAAGAGAGCTACATCAATTTTATAATACTCTCAACTTATACACAATACAATGGTGGAGGCTCCTTTATATAGGAGAAGAAATTGTGAGGATGGAAAAAATTAGAAAATAGGAAACAAGGAGGATTTTTCTCCACTGATTCCTCTAGTAACACCAAATCTTCAATAATAGGAAACAACATCAATACTAAAAGATTTTCCTCTACTGATTCCTCCATTAAATCTTCAATACTCCCCCTCAAGTTGGAGCATGAATGCTCAACTTGCCATTGAGATGACTAAACAAGTGTGAATGATAATGAGAGAAGAGAGAAGACGAAAAACAATGCTACCGAATACATCGACAGTCCAAACAAGTCAACAAAAAACTGCCGGATACATGATAAAGGCGAGGACAATGCTACCGAGCACACCAACAACCCAAACAAGATGATAAAAACTGCCGGAGACTCGGCAAAGGCGAAGAACATTAATGCCGAACAAACCGGCAGCCCAAACAAGTCACAAATAGCACCAAGAACATTTCAGATGCTAAAGGAATAACCCAAAATAGGGGTCCGAACCTAAGAAAAGGGAAGAGAGAAAGATGGAGAACACAGACATATACATGGTTCGGCACTAAGGCCTACATCCATGGACAGAGAGCCACTAGGGGCTACATTTTTATTATTCAGATATATTTTGCCCGAGTACAAAGAGGTTATATATAAGCACGATAAAGATAAGAAAATATGAAAGGTGTACAATAGCCAAAAGAGGCACCATGATTGGTGGAGGATTTTGTTCCACCGTTATAAAGAAATATTTATAATTGGAAAGAAATTGACCGGAACACCATGATTGGTGGGGGATTTTAATTGGATGCACAATTGGAGTTTGTCAACAAGGCATCTAGATAATGACACTATTTGACACCCCTCAATGGTGGATCCATGAAATTTCCCTTAAGTGAGCCAAAGTCACTTGATTTATAAGCATCTTTTTGTAATATTTTAATTTTCTTTATAGCACAAAAACTAAAACTAAATAATTTGATATTAAGTAATATTTTTTAATTATATAATCTTTTATTTATCATTTTTGTGAAAAAACAAAAATAATTTTTAATACGTTTAACTAAAATGATTAAAATTAATTAATTTATGAAGTAATGTGTATTATACAATTTTCTAGCACTTTGAAAAGGATTTTAATTTGACAGTCCGCATTAAATATAGTGCTTACCTTGCAGGCTTGCACAAAAGTTCTTGTGAATATTTTAAACTGACTTTGTTAGAAGGGGCAGTGTTGTGTGGTTCTCTCACTAAAACTTTCCCTCTCTAGATTCTAGTGTGATTTTGACCTACCCTAATCTGAATTTGTTCATCGACCATCATCAGTCCATCCTTGATGACTTGTGTAGGTTGAAGTTGAAGCTGCTTTAGGATTTTCCCAAAGATTCTTGCAATACAATTGATGACTTGTATAGGTTGAAGTTGAAGGTGCTTTAGGATTTTCCCAAAGATTCTTGCAATATTTTAAACTGACTTTGTGAGAAGGGGCAGTGTTGTGTGGTTCTCTCACTAAAACTTTCCCTCTCTAGATTCTAGTGTGAATTTGACCTACCCTAATCTGAATTTGTTCATCGACCATCATCAGTCCATCTTTGATGACTTGCATAGGTTGAAGTTGAAGGTGCTTTAGGATTTTCCCAAAGATTCTTGCAATACAATTGTTACTTTTTATCGCTTTTCTGGTGACGACTGACTGGTCACTGGTGTGATTTCAGCTCTGCTGCCGACGCTTTCCTGGTGAAAGTATGGAGGTTATTGAAAAAGCGAGGGTAGTAGAATCAGAGTTGATTTCACATGAAACAGTGAAGGATCTGAAACATGCCATGGAAGGTCAGTTCACTGGAAGTCTGAATGACGAGCACAAAGATCTTCAAACAGAAATGTTGAAGCTGCGAACAGCAGAAATGGAAGGCAGGTTATGCAATGAGGAGTCAATTTACAGGTGGCCATGGAATAAATGGCAAACATAGTGTGGGTGGCCGTGAAATCGGTAGCCATGATTTTGTTGGGCGGGTATTTGTCAACGGGTTGGAGAACATGGTTATGACACCCAAACTACCAATGGTGGCCATGGCAGCCGTGGTGGGAAATTTGAGAGTCGTACTGAAGGAAACCTTCACAGTGGGTGTGGCTATGTTGATCGCTAATATGGTAGCTGGAACAGCATTGCTTGGAATTCTGATCAAAAGTTTATGGTGGAGCGCTTAAGATGGATGGTTGGAGTGACTAGAAGATCAAAAGTTTATGGTGGAGCGCTTAAGTTTATGGTGGAGCGCGGCACCCATTAACAAGAAAATAAGAGTAGACTTAGATGGTTTGGGCACATACACCGGAGACCTATAGATGCACTAGTGAGAAGAGGAAGTTTAATGTCCATAAAAGGCAAGACACGGAGGACCAAAAATAACGTGGATAAGTTAATAGAAATTACTTTTAAAAGTTAAACATAATAGGTGATATGGCGGGTAATAGAAAGGAATGGAGACAGATAATTCATGTGGGCAACCCCATCCATAAGACAAGGCAAGGATGATGATGATGTTTATGGTGGAGCGTGACAATTTGGCACATACAGAGACAGCTTCCATTAACAAATTGGGCCCACATGAGTTACTACACATTTTACTTCATTATGACGTGTGTCATCATCTAGTTCAATACAATCTCAATAATCACCGTTAACTATCAATGATCCAATCGTTGTTAATGCAATGGGTGTGGTGGGTGATATCAGTAGATACCGAAGGTTGGCTGGAAAGCCGATTTATCTTATTGTCACATGGCCGAACATTACTTATGCCGTTGGCGTGGTGAGTCAGTACATGCATGCTCCTCGTCAACCCCATTTTGATGTTGTTTGTTGTATTTTACGTTATATGAAGAGAGAGCACCTGAGAAAGGCTTTTGTATAAGCCTTCAACTTCCCTACCTGTGACCGCTTTTAGTGATGTTGACTGGGCTGGAAGTCGTTCTGATCGGTGGTCTACTTCCAGCTATTATACCTTTGTTGGTGGGAATCTAGTTAGTTGGCATAGTAAAAAGTAAAATGTTGTTGCCTATTCTAGTGCTGAAGCCAAGTGTCCTGCTATGGCTCATACTGCCTCTAAAATGTTATGGATTCGTTCTCTCCTTCAAGATCTTGGTGTCAATGTTTCCACTCCTACGCAGATGCATTGTGACAATCAGGCCGCTATCTTTATTGCTAGCAATCCTGTGTTGCATGAATGTACTAAACATATAAAGGTTGATTGCCATTTTATTCGGGATTTGCTGATGAAGAAACAGATTGTCACTCCTTATGTCTGCTCTAATGCTGAACTGGGTGATATTCTCATGAAGCCATTAGCTCATGCTTCCTTTCCACATTTGTCTTCCAAGCTGGGCATGTTTGATTTATTCGCTTTAGCTTGAGGGGGAGTGTAAGAAAAATTATATTTTAGAGTAAGTTGTAATTTTCTTAGGTTATATTACCCTAGGGGTATTATTGTAGTTGTCCCCATTCTAATATAAATACATGGCCAGGTGAAGGGACAAACTAATTTTGCGGTGTGCCCTAAACCTTTTATCTAATCACTTTCTCTTCCTCTCCCCCCTGACTTCTCACCTAACCCTTCTCAGTTCTCAGTAATTTATACTGTAAGGATATTAGTTGTGGTCCTACCATTAGATTGGTTAACTCTGCAGTTCAGCAAATTCAACAAACCACTGGTTTTGCTAACATATTTCAGGTGTTGGAAAGTTGCTCTAATCTGAATGAGGAAGAAAGCACAGGAGTTGAGATTCATACATCTCAATTTCAAGAGTTGCACTCTGCTTCTGAGTTTCATGGGGCTAGCTGGAGGATTTTGATCATAACATTCTGCGCGCACTGAAAACCACAGATTTGTTTGCGTCTAATATGGATGATAGTGATCAAATAATTGTTCCTCTTACTGAGCCTGTGAGGGTGATTTTGGAAATTTTGTGGAAGAAGGCATTGCTTCTCCTGTGATAAATGCTACTACTGTAAAGCCTTATGTTGGTGTTACTCTAGATGGGGGTCAACAAACAAAAATTAGTATTAACTCAGCCAAATGAAATGGTAAAGCTAAAATCCTAAAGAAGTCCAAGGGGATGAAGAAGGTAGT